TGAAGGCATTAAGGCACAGGGAGAATCCAATTGGAACAGCCATCCATCCCTCTTCTAAAATAGACAACCTATTGTTGACACATTCTCTGTGAAAAACAAGGCTTCTTCTTTCCTGTTCCCCAGCAGTGAGTGTATAAAAGCCTGCGACCTCTGTCTGTTCCACTCTAGGTGAGTGCAGCATCACACAGATGTAGTAAAGGCAGTGGGAATGTGGGTTAAAATGCAGCTGAAGGCTGTCGACTCCAAGCATAAAGTAGAAAACAAAAGGCATAAAGGTCTAGGAGGAAGGGCTGCTGTATGAAGGACTCACCAGGCAATCTGTAATACATGTGAAATACTTAAAGGCAACACAGACATTTCACTTTAGACAAGCGGAGTGATCTGGAGATCATTCACAGTAAGAGGGAGCATTTTTAGCCATGTGATGTCCAAATATATTTTTTATTGGGGTTCCATGATTTAAAAATATAAAAACAAAAACAATTGCAATCAAATCAACCTCAACAATTTTTCCTTAAATGGCCATTAATATTAGTATGAACTTCTATATACAACATATGTTGAAGGGAATAGATGCCAGCACTGAAATCTGACCTTCTCCTAAACACAACTTCAAATCAATCACGAATTGTGCCATGTCATTGTGATTTCATTGGTTAAAAAACGTTTTATTTTCATGTATTGATGCTAGAGGAAGAGCAGCCCTACTTTGCGACATTAAAGGTCACCTATTAAGCAAAATGCACTGTTTGATGTCTTTTATACATAAAGATGTGTCCCCGGTGTGTCAGGGAACTCACAAAGTGTCAGAAAACAAAACCCTCTCTCTTTCCCTCCGTACCCAAATCTCTAAAACGGAGCTGATCCAGATTTGCTGGGTGTGTGTGTGTGTGTGTGTGTGTGTGTGTGTGTGTGTGTGTGTGTGTGTGTGTGTGTGTGTGTGTGTGTGTGTGTGTGTGTGTGTGTGTGTGTGTGTGTGTGTGTGTGTGCAGAGGTAGGAGAAGTACTCAGATATTGTACTTGAGTAAAAGTAGAAGTACCAAAGTGTAGGAATACTCTGTAACACGTAAAAGTATTCAAAAAGTAAAAAGTACAAAAGTATTAGCATCAAAGTAAACTTAAAGTACCACAAGTAAAAGTAGTCATTGTGCAGATTGGTCCATTTCAGAATAATATATATGATATGTTTTATAATGATTGATCATGAAAGTGTTCTCAAAGCTGGTAAAGGTGCAGCTAGTTTGAATGACTTTGTATACTGCAGGGTAGCTTGTGGATTTACTCCAGGTGGAACTAAAGTCTGATGTTGTATTTCACATCATTGATCCACATCTGTAAAGTAACTAAAGGTATTAAATAAATGTAGGGGAGTAAAAGTACATAATATAACTTTGAATTGTGGTTGAGTAGAAGTACAAAGTAACATAAAATGGAAATACTCAAGTAAAGTACCTCAAAATTGTACTTAAGTACAGTACTTAGTTACTTGAGACGACTGAGTGTTGCTGTATTTGTGGCAGTCATGCCTCTGTCTTGGAGACTATTGTTATTATTGGTATTTTATGTAAAGTAAACATGTGTTTTATTTGCAGATGGTGCAACGTTTGTTACTGTTCTGTGTTAAGTAAGTTAACATTATGCCATATTAGCTAGCAGTATGTTAGCTAGCCCTGTTTGTGAATTGACATTGTAACTGTGATATAGTAAAGCTGTGTGTCTGTTTTCATACATTACAGCGCTGCTTACTAGTTCATTTGCCCTTGCCTGAAAAACAACAAAGAACAAGCAAAGACAAGCCCTGTCTCTTGAATGGAGGGCTTTTGCAGGTTAGCTAGCTGTTTAGCTGGACCTAAGGATACACACTGTAAGGGCAGTACAGTAGGTCTACATCATGGTGTTTTTTTGGGGAGTTTGTTCAAAATGAAGTGCATTCAGTCCTTTCTCTCATCCCTGATTCAAGTCAATGCCCGATGCTCTCTGCAAATGAGACATTTTAAGTATTTAACTTATTATAAAATTATTGAATTATTTAAATATTTTCACCATACTTTGATGTAAGTTATATTCCGCTATAGCGATGTGTCCCTGGGGTAAGATGTTGCATTATTGGATGCCTTGTGTGTGTGTGTGTGTGTGTGTGTGTGTGTGTGTGTGTGTGTGTGTGTGTGTGTGTGTGTGTGTGTGTGTGTGTGTGTGTGTGTGTGTGTATGTGTGTGTCTTTGATATCTTTTTTCATAACTGATGAGGCACTAATCAAAAGTGAAACATCAATTCGAGGAATGGTTCCCAACAAGCAGGTAAGCAGAAAGAGGGAAGAGGGAAGAGAGACAGGATGGAGGGATGGAGCTTTTATTAGCTCTGCAGAGCCTGTGACCTTGGTGCTCACTAACACACACATGCATAAATGGACACAACCTTCAGCTCTCATCAGCGGCCAACATGTCCTCCACCAAAAATGGACTGTGACAAATACAAAGAGACATTTGTTTTTTATGAAATGGGGAAGCGGCTAAAAAGAGACATTGCTCTTGCTTATACAAGCAAAGGAAGTAGTCAAAAGCACTTTGTTTTGAAAGTGGTGGGGACACTTTTTTCCGATAAAAAAACCAATTGTATTTCACACCCCCCACCAGCCTGCAGATCTGTCTTTGCTCTTCAATGTCGCAGAGTCAACTGTTAAGGCAATTATGGTATTATTACATCTTAATACAGTGTAATCCTAATGAAATGTAACTTCTAACAAAGTAGCATCCTTTCAAGTGTTTTAAATCCTTATGTCTGTGAAGAACATTTGGTCTGTGTTCACGAGGGTAAGACGAAGGGTTGTATGACACTACAGGAAAGACAGGGGGAAAGTAAGACATTTGCTCTAGGGGGGTAGCTGCGACACCCAATTGTGCTTTGTACGGTGTGACCTGGGCCCAAATGTTGTTGTGTTGTCATGTAAAAATGTGTTCAAGTTTCTGATCAGAGTAGGCATGTTTTGGGTCATTTTAGACTCAGTAGGCTGAATTCTTTTTTGCTGACACTATTTCGCTGCTGCAAAGCAGGAGCAATATTAGATTTTTTATTTTCTGTTTAAAGTTAACTAACATAAAATGTGCCCCATGTAGAAATTGCACCATTTGCATCCCCAGCAATACAGGCACCAAGCGTGAACGGACAAAACAAATGAACTCAAAGTGTTCTTATTTATTACCATTGCTGTTTTTCAGAAAATGTTTCAACAAATTATACTTTCAAAAAGTGTTGGGGACATGTCCCCAGCGTAAATGACACTTAGGGTTCAAATGCAACTGACATCACTGCAGTGCAGCATAGTGTCACGACTTAACACTCCTTCACTACAAAGCCTTGGAACTGCGATGGGAATTATTGTCGTGTTTGTCTCAATGTTTGTCTTCTAGTCCATTGCACATCTCATACTCACCACACACAGCAAAAAGTAATGAAACCAGCAGAAATTCTTTAAAATGACATTTCTACAGCAAATATACCAAAGCAATAACAACACGGGAGCGTGAAGTGTAATCATTACTGTCTTTTACCATCAGCGCGGCGTCTCCCGCTAACATTACAAGACAATTCCACTAAATAGGATATGAACACAGGACATGGCAATGGAATAGTTGACTTTGAATGCACTTGAATATAAAGATTGCTGTAAAAAAAACTGTGTTAAATGGAGCCAGAAAAGGCTGCTCAGATTAGAAGTGGAAAGGCAGAATGAACACTCACAGCCTTCACATACACCAACACGAGCCACTTTCTTTGACCTCCTCTGAATTGGGTCCCGGGCGAGGATTATGGGCAGTGCTTCAGAAAGAGATGAGCTCCTCGCTCTCTCAACAGCCAATTTTTAACCTCTACGGCAAGCCAACTACTCTAAGTCCTTCAACACTGCGAAGCGAAAAGGAGGGGAAGAAAGAAGGCTTTAATTCACCTTTTCATGTTGGAGCACCAAGGTCGTTCTGCTATTATCAGGAAATCAAAGTGAATAAGTGAGAAGAACAGAGGGGGAAATCATTTCACTAGAGGCGCCACGGGATTAAGAGCAACGTCTGAAGAAGCTGACCTAGAGCAATCATGGTCTTTTTAAAAGGGTCCCAGATTGGATGGAATGAAAGGATGGATGTTAGTGTAATGTGCTGCCAAGTTGTTGGCTTGAGGATGGCAGGGAAGAGCTGTCAAAGTCATTATGGAGAGACGGATACTCCAAGCATTAAGGTTGTGATTACAGCTCCATGCTCGGGGTACAGCCGCTGATCCCCCCTCAGCCTCAGGGGACAAAGCTGTGCCATCAGTAACCCACGGAGCCACCGCTGTTGATGAGCAAGGGCGGTTGGAGGAGATATCACAGTTGGAGGAGGCTGGGATTTGACAAGCTGTCTTGGCCAACCCTAGTGGGCCATCAGCTGTGTGTGTGTCAGTGTGTGTGTGTGTGAATGGCAGCAGCCTGCTGTGTTCCCCGGTGCGCTGTGGTCTGTGGCCTTGAAGCTATAGCACAGTCCTGGGGCTGACATATTCTAATCCTGTTTCCTCTGGCTTTGTCACACCATGGGGCTCCTCCAGCCTTCCTCAGCTCATTTCCATCCCAACCGTTTGCTTTTTAATTAATGCAATGTGGTCGAAACAAGGGGATGTTGCAGTGTGAAGATTTGACAAAAAATGCTGGCTCAAGTGAGCTCTTTGGCAAAGTTGCACAAAAGTGACCTTGAGTAATAGCAGGACTATGGCTCAGTTGTTCCCCCTTCCTCCTGAGGTCCGCAGGGTCTCAGGTTTGAAGCCAGCATGTCCAGCTGTGCTTAGTCTCCCGCGCTCCTACTTTGTTTGTATTGACTTTGTACACATTTTTGGTGGATCACTTTCATTCTACTGTTATACATTACATCACATACAGCTGATGCTTTTATCCAAAGCTGCTTACAATAAGTTGTACAACCATGAAGCTACAAAAAAACATTAGCTTTCAGTAATCAGCAGTTTAAAAGAGAACTTACCTGGGAACTGGTAGCTGTAGCTTGGGGCAAATCCAGTGTAACCTCTGCCGTATGTTGCTACAATGTTAGGATAACCTGGGGAGAAGGCAATAAATGACTTTTAGAAAAGCATCATGATAAAAAAGTACACATACACATAAAAACATATAATATATAATTGCATAGTCCTTTCCATCACTTGTATCTTAGTCTATCCCACTAAAGATCAAAGGAGAGCTGCACTAAAGACAACATTAATATACATTAGACATGTTTCCTTCCTTTTCTGAGGATGGATTTTACACATATTTAAGCCATTATTGCTACAGTACTATCTGTAAAATATCAAATGTGGTTAATTAATCCTTGTCCTCGCAGCCTGGTCTCCACTGCAACCTAAACTGTTTGCCTGAGGAGGGTACCCCCGACACAAAAAACAGATACATTTCAATGTGAAATCATTATTAGCAAGTGACATACATTTCCACAGTTGATGAAATAAATTCATTTGTGTTAGATAAATATTATGCACATTCTAAAATGTAAGCATTAAACTTACTCAGCATGCCCATGCCCAGCATGAAGGCATCCACAGTGTACGGAAGGCCCCTCGCCCGACCTCGTGTCCCCGGGGGACACATCACTTCTTTAGGCTGGGCCTTTTTGCATTCTACCTGTGAAACAGATAACGAGAAGTCAAACAATACTTGACACTTTACTTACACCGTTCAGTGTTTGTCTCAACCATTTTTGATAATGTTTTGTTTTTTATACCAAATGGGCTTACCATTGTTGAACTTGATGCTAAACATTTTTGAATGACCGGCTTCATGAGAAGTTTGTTTTTTAGACCCTCCAGTCGAGGTACCTCCAAATATTGCAGCCAGATAGACAGCAAATGTTGCCCTTAATTGTATTCACATTAAAGTAGACTCAGACAATTTTTCTTTAAATCTTTTCATTTACATTTAATGTCCAAGTTCAGGATTTGTTTAGAGCCAACATGATCTTACTGACTCTTTAGGTCTTTCAGTTCAGAAGTTAAGGGTGATGTAAAGATTCAACAAATTCAACATCATTTGTGCCTTACATAAGGCAAACTTACATTTTGACCTTCAGAATGGCTGTACATTGATGTTACATTTATTTAAACTCATTTGTCAGACACTGTCCAAAGTAAATTAAGTGTGTTCAACCTCTGTAGGAAGAAGAGGTTGAGTAAAAGTGCATCATTAAGTACAATGGGCACTGAATCCGCTCTCCTTTGTGTCATTTCCCCTAATTATTTCTCGTCTCATCTCCCTCTCATTAGCTCACTTCTTAATTTAAAGGAGAACCACACACACTCACACACAGACACCTTCTGCACTGTTCCCCCCTACATCACTGTTACTGCCTTTATCTGGGGGATATCGGAAATGCTAATTTGTCCTGGATTGCGCCAAGGCCATTCGCTTAAGGTCAGAGAGCCTTTGTTTCAATGGCTTTGCCGATATCATCATTATGCCTCAATCGATATGCCTGAGACAGAAAAACACAACGTGCCGAAGGCCCCTTTACCCTTCAAAGTTCTTGTTTAACTGTGCTAGCAGTGAATGGAAGGGACGTTGCAGTTATTAACCACCAAGTGGATACAGGATGTGCTACGGGAAGCGGACGCTGGCGGGGGTCACAGCAGCCTGGTGTGACCACACACTGAAGCTGAGGGGGCTCAGGGAAATTGGCATCTAGCAATCAAAGGGTCAGCGATTTGACCCCATTTGACCCATAAGCTCCCATAGGGATGTCTAAGGTATAGCAACGTTTGTATGTTGCTATGGTTAAAAAGCTAAATGACATGTCATGTAAAGGTGCTTCAATGCTGATGATGATGGTTCATCATTAAAATTGACCTGTCTCCTCATTTTAACAAATAAAAGGTGTATGGCATGGTATGTGTATCCAAGATAAGATATACTGTGTATATACACACATACACATAGATATACACACATACGCAAATGTATGCCACTGTTATTCCCCACTGAATAATGTGGGCTACACATATGCTCCTATGGTTATGCTATGCTTCAGGAAAATGCCTTTCCTTCGTTTTCGCCACACCTAAAGTGAACGAGTGCAGTTGTGCCATTACACCGAGGTAGTTAGGGTTCTTACTGATGTCAAGTGGTCTCTAGTCAGTGTTTCTGTTCTCTAGTCAGTTTTTTACATGTTAACATTTCCAGGTGTCTTGCAATACCAGATAGCCTCAGTCAATGCTTCAGTCTCACACACCCACCACTCCCATAAGACAAAAAAACCCGAGCACACCCACACCATACTACACAAACCCATATTTTATTATTCAGTTTGGTTTGGTCCGCTTTGGTATTTTGTCATTTGTCTTATTTGTTTTCCATCTGTATATGTGACCTTATATTTGTGAGATCCAGTGTTGACACTTGAGTGAATGGAGCAGTGTGTGCCTTGATTTAATGAGTCATTGCTATGAGAAGCTGTTTAGACCTTGCAGTACAAAAGTCTGCAGATAGAGAAATGCTCTGCAGGCCAACAGTTAATGTCTCCCTTTGTGGGCTTGAGATTGGCAGGGCCACCCACTCCTGGCCCTGAGGGGAGATGGAGAGTGCAGCATGGGTCTGTGCCACTTGGCAGGGTGCAATTAGTAACCCTCCAGGTGACGAAAGCAAAGGGGAACAGCAGGCACACAGTTAGGCAGTTACACATTTCAATCACACCATGACACATGGGGAAAGTTTAGAATGATGCGACTGTATTTACCATAAACCAACCATGACTTTAGTAAGTTAATATCAACGGAGCAGTATCAAATAATAATAATAATAATATGTTCCTACTCTCAGAGGGGGTGGGCAGAAAAGATGTTGTGCGGCTCTTTATAATATATGTGTCTTTGCTATAGAGCGTGGGGTAAAGCAGAGTGCTGGCTTCCTTTATTTATCTGTGTCATTACGTCCAGTTATGAAGCCATAAAGCCCAGTTAGCTTTACTACACCAGCCACCCAATGCTGTTGATGCCATTTGACTTACACAATTACGTGCAGGAAACTATTCTCTCAATCTCTCCCCTCATAGTTCCGTCTGTCTTGTTTTTGATGGGTGGCTTTGATAACGCTCCAAATGGAAGAAAAACACTCGTCCTTCAATCGAGGAAAAACCATGTTGCTTTGTATTAAAAGGAGTCAGTTGGGGTGTTTGGGCATTTGATCAGAGTTATTATTGGACACCTCCCTGGGGCAGAACCCACCCACATGGAGGGATAAAGCTGTATGTCCAATCGAGTCAACGAAACACCCTTAGACTAAGATGTGTCTGTGGAGAAGGACATCTGGGATTTCTTGCTCCAGCTGTGACCTTAAACCAGAACAGTGGCAGAAAATGATTGATTATCTTCATGTGAGGTTTTATGTAAATCGCAGCTTTTAAAGGCTGCAGATAGGGCTGTCAGTCAAGAGCTAGTGAGGTGTAATTGTGACCACTGGTCACACTTTCTTATGCCATCAATAATGACAATAAAAACAATATTAGATCATTAAAAAAACATTTAAAAAGAAGGTATAGCAATATAAATTAGTCCCATTATCCAGCCGATTCAAACAGTTATATTAAAACAACATACATGATACATGCTTCATTAAATATGAAATATGTCATTTTACCCTAAATAAAACATTGAAAAAAGTGTTATTTTATATTACCTATCCTTATATGATAACCGCAAAAAGGAGGTATATTCTTACAGATTGCAGTCATGGCTTTACCTACACACAGCTTAAGTAAAGATTGCTTCACTAATCTAAAAAGTGTCATATTTTTATGTAAAACTGTATCTTACGATAAAACATTTAGAAAAAGCTTTTATTATTAAGTTTAATAATATATATTTTATTATAAATGATACCCCATTATAATTAGTCCAGGTTCAAGAGAAGGGCAGAACAGTGATTGTACAGAAATGTAGTTAATTTAGTAAGCAAAAACCAATTTTCAGAGTTTGTCAAACCATAACAATATGTCTAAATAACCAGCAAGCTTAATCTGAATGATTAAAAAATATCGAACTGATAGACAGCTGGTAAAAAATGCAACAATTCGGTGGCAAACAGGATTTTTCCCAGTATGCCGGATGGCCAGTAGTAAGCAAGTGTGGTAACTGGCAATTAAGCGGGAAACCTAAGGCTGTGTTTAGAAACAATTTCAGATTTGACCTGAATCAGACATTGAATATCCCAGCCCTTAGGGCCATGGAAAGCTAACTGTTCCCAAGCCGATAGCAAGCAAACACCCCAGAAAAGGGACCAAGCAGTGATACCTCCCACACCATCGTCCCATATTAGTAATGTCCTATTGGCACAAATGTGAAAAGTTCATTCTAAAATGTCTGTCATAGCCATCAGTGTCAGTTGTTGTGACCTGTTGAATGAATGGCGTTCCTTGATTACAGGTCATCTATTATCCTTGCCAATCATGTTCTATTAAATCCACAGCTAACTTTCCAAGGTTTATGGACAGACTAATCAACCCTTTTAAGGTAAAAAGAAAGAGATTCTCCAACTTTAATGAGTTGTGTTCCACTAGATGACCTCTTTGCTTCTGTCGCTGCCACTCTTCTCTCCATTGTACCTGAGATTGAGGCCCTTTCATAAAGATGAAGACTCAACAGAGTGGAAGTCAATAAGCCTTCTCTCTTTCAGAACTCGTCTTTTCTCCCTGATTCTCTCGGTCTCAATTTTCCATGAATGTTTATTGCCAACTTAAATGCATGAGTGAATATCCTCATGTATGAAGTATCCAATACATGTTTAGTGACCATTGCTGTCAAAAAGATACACAGTGTCGTCTTGGTACCCTTCTGATAAAACACATGATCTGTAAATGCAAGACAACGGGTTCCAATTTTGCTCGGTTTGCAGTTTTTTACTGCTGTAGACCAGTATACTTAAATGTTCACAAAGCATTTGGGAAATAGGGGCTTACACTAGCCTATATTAGTCCACACTGAATACAACGGCAAATTAAACATTGCTACTTCTGTTGGAAGTTGGTATTAATGTCTGCGAGGGCTGGGACTTAAAGCTGTATTATTGTTTCTTTTTCTTCATTTTCTTCCTCTACTTCTTCTGTTTCTTCTTCTTCATACTCTCCTGCCCTCCCCTGCTGGTGTAAACAATGCACGCAATCCCCCTGTAGCCCAATTTAAAACAGGCAGTCGATGAGTGGTGTGAAAAGAGGAAGGGGGCTGACGGTCCATGGGGGGATATCGACTAGAATAAAGAAATCATGGTCAGCACTGCTGGGATCCCGAAACAATAAAAGCAAGTGATGTCCTATCATGTGTAAATCAATAGTTAGCAAGTGCAGGGCTTATTTTTCCTGTCTGCAACTCTGGGTTGTTTGTTTGATTTCACCTTCATACTGACTCAGTGACAGAAATAAGACCGGGGAAAAAGAGCTCACTTTGGCAGCGGCATTGCATCATGTTCAAATGAAGGAGAGGTAAGACGATTTAAGTCATGTGTGTGGGATGTGTGTTGCTGAGAAGATGGTTTGTAAAGGAATCATATTATTTTAACATAAGTTCAAAATTGTCTATAGAATTAAACACTGGAACATTTTTGTATTTGTATTCTGTACTGTCAGCCTCAACATGAACTAAGTTATCTAAAGGATCGATCCGAAGTGCACATAAAGAGAGGTGCGCTGTGCACTGTATTACCTAACAGAACCAAACCATTTGTTTATATAACACAATAACAAATAACCTTTTTCTCCAGCATTGTTGTGTCAGGAACATGGAATCAGTTGTTGTACACACTTTATACCGGCCTCCATCCCCGAGAATCTGTATGTAATGGATTATGGCATGGCATGTGTGCGAATATATGTTATAATATGTATTTCTTTGGAAGAAATCTAAGCTCATCTCTCATGTTGCTCCTTACTTAACAGGAGGCCTGGGGCTTTAGTCTGTTTGTATTATCAATAACACTGGGTCCCAATCTATGTGAGAAAGAAGGGGAAACGAAGGTGGAGTGATTGTGTGATCATGTTTTCGTTTAAGGTTTATTTAATGACATTTGCAAATGGAAGATTTTGGTGGAATTAAGGTTTGTTGTAATGTGCAACTTGAAGTATTATTTGACTTGCCATGGAACCAGCAAGACAATCATCTTGGCTGAAAGACAAAAACAATTAAAAACCACTTGCTAGACATTTTAAGTTGGAGGGTGGGAACTGATACACAAACCTAAGGGACCTTCTTTAGGCCCCCGGGTTTTCTGTGACCTTTTTTTATCTGTTACAATGAAATACCTTCAGTCATAGCTAGCCATTCTAATTCTAATTTGCAGAGCATCATGCTGTGGAAATTGGCCGTGGGGGCAGAGGTAGGGCAGGTTGTTCTGCCCTTTTGCGTGCTTTGGGATCATACACACAATTTCATGGTTAGTGATCAGTTGCAAGGAACCGACAGCTGACCTCCACTTCCCTCATCCCTCAGTATCTCACCGGTGTGTGTGTGTGTGTGTGTGTGTGTGTGTGTGTGTGTGTGTGTGTGTGTGTGTGTGTGTGTGTATGTGTGTGTGTGTGTGCAGCAGTTTCCTTTGGTCTAGTGTCAGTTTACACGATCTCTTTCACTGCTACACTTCATAAAATCAAACATGAATCCAGATCTGTGTCAGACATTCTGAAATGCAATGGGAGCCACTCACCATTTTATTATTGATTTCATGAAAATGGATCTCGCAGACTTTCTCCACCACATCCTCAATTTCAAATGTAACAAAGCCAAAACCTGCAGAGGAGACAGATGGGTAGAGAGAATAATGGCAAGAGTAGAGAAAGAGGAGGCAAGAAATAGGAAAGGGGAAGGGGAGGAGGGCACACTTGGTCATAATTCCACAAAAGCATGATCCGCTACAGCTATCAGCACTCATTTCTATCGATTAAGAGGTGTAAATGGAGCCTTTTACCTCACACAGAGCTTCCTCTGCTTCCTCAGGCTCACTAAGCTTTATAGTCCTGGTGCAACAAAAGCTCTGTGGCGATCAAAATGATAGACATCTCACAATGGGACTACAATACTTTAGTTTAAATTGAACAAAAAAACTGAACAAAACAGCTATAGAGACCATTGAAGTTCTTAGTTTGGTATATAGAGTGGTGCAGGAATGAGTCCTAAAACCTGGAAATGAGTTGTATCACTTCTAGTTCCCTGATTTCAGTCACCTTTGTTTAATAAATTAGTTATTGGTTAGATGCCTAAAATAAGATCTGTGGTTAAAACAAGTTAAAGAGATTTTCCCGTATTGTTCTACGACCTAAAATACTTCAGTAAATACCCCACTGGGGAACGTCTGAAGCCTCTATGCGTGTTAAAAACAGCAGTTGCTAACAAGTGGCTAAAGTCAGCCATTTACTTATCGTTGGTGACTCAACACCAGCAGGTATTATAAACGTCTGTTTGCAAAAAACCTGACATTCTGAAATCCAATGGGAAAATCGCATTCCTTTTTAAAGGTTTCCCTTGCGATGCTTATTCCCTTTGTTGTCTACAAAAATAAATCATCACTACACCACTCTATAATGTGTTTGCTTTATTTAAGTAGAGAAGCTAAGCAGTTTAGGCTTGAACTGATGGCAAATCAACACTCTGACAAACCAAGTAAAAGGGAAGGTCAGTAATACAAGGTAATATAGTGATTTACCAGCATTAGCTACACATGGTATTTGAGATTCAAAGGAAATACATATCAGACATATTGATAGTTGAACACAGAGTAAACCCACAAAATGTATTTCTTGAAATTGTATGTTTGTATTTCTCCTTTATTGTACTTGATTTGTTCTTTACTTCTGTCCATCTCAGAATCATGTTGCCTTTAGAGAGTTACCTGACACAAAATAACTTTTTTTGGGTTACCAATATATATACAGTCAATTTATAATGGCAATAAACTGAAACTGACTTATCCTTTCAAAACATTTCAAAAATAACATGCCCCCGAAGAACAATGTTTCTGAGTTCATGCCCCATTTTCACTTAAATGCACAAATGAACAGTTTGAAGATTTGTAACTTCGCTTTGGAGAGATGGGAATGTGCATCTGAGAGTAGCACTGTTTACACTGAGAATATTGGGGGGAAATGTCCATCCTCCCAATCTTCCATTCCTCTATTCAGTCACCCTCTAGTCTATTGCCTCTGCTGTAGCAGTCACAGGAACACATGCACATCTGCTGCAGCTATATACAGATTTGAGCTCTAATAACCCCACTTCATACATGAATTGAAGAAGAGAAGAAAGAATAGACTTTGTAGAGACAAACCATCTAAAGGAACAATGGATACTCCAGTTACTTTGAACAGGTGTAAGGAAACACCACTCAGGTGGACGTAATGTAGCATTAGTTCTCACTTGTTCTGGTGGACGATTAGAAAAGCCTGAAGGAAACCTAAAAACCAAATAAACATATCTAATCTCTTCATTTCCTGCCACCTCCCCCTCCTTGCCTTTCCCTTCTCCTTCTCTGCTCCTCCTTAGAAGTACCCTAGCCACCACTGACAGCCAACAAACCAGCTGTCAGGGGCAATTTGTCAAAGAGCCTGGCAGTCAACATACAGGATGGGTGGCATCGTGAGCGATAGGGCTGATGTGATGGAGAAGGATAAAATACGAGTGCAAGTGTAGCAGAGATCTGAGAGACATAAAGAGGCAGTTGTAGAAATTCATGTTCACTGTAATATACAGTATGTACATAATGCATGAAAAAGTTATCGAATTCTGAGATGGTTATTGTACTATGTTGATGGTAATTTTGCTAAGCAGCTAAGGTTTAAGACATCTTAGATTTCAAGTGACAATAGACCTCTATTAGCCAAAGTAATGATGACTCTTTTCCAAGCTAAGGGGGTTGATGTGAGAGCCACCATATCTGTCAAGAGAGGAGGTCTGGTGGATAGATTGACCAACACATTGTCAGAATTGTACTAGAAACAGTCCATGTTATGAGTTTTTTCTCTGACCTTCATGGTTAGGGTTAGGGTTAGGGAGGTTGTTGTAATCATGATGATACATTATGCCCCAACCTCACTCAGACCTTATCTTAACCCAAACCGTATTCTACCCCAGACCTAAAACAGTTGTATTGTTGTTTAATACGGAGGACTTGCAGATTTGAATCATGGTCCCCAGTGAACTCTGTAACCATTGAGTCATATTGTGACGACTTGATTTCATAAATATGAACCTTGCCTATATTTCTATACAGATTGTACCTAGTAATATTTCACATTGTTTCCGTGACTAGATTTCATTTAATATTGTAAGAAAATATTTGTGACCTCAACCATTTTAGGAAAGCAAACTTACATTGTTTACATGCATTACCGAATTTTGAGTAAAATTAGGGTTAGGGTTAACCCTAACCACAAAAAAAAAAAGTTCATACATTCAAAAAAAGCCTTCAACAAATGAGTACAACACTAACAAGAAATAAAGCGAGCCACAAAATACATCCAACTTGCCAGCATGATGTTGATTGAAGTATGAAACTGAGCAGCCAAATACAGGCCACCATGCAGTCAGCCAATCATGGGAGTGGATCAGCACAGAGCTCAACAACAGAGCAGAGAGCAACGACAAATAGCATGTCCCTCACTGTGACCAGAGGCGGCAGCAGGAGCCAAGGGGGAGCTTATTTAGTAATAGCAGGTGCTAAACATTTGGTCCATTAAAACAAATAACTACACATGATAACCATCAATTATCAAGTGTGTTTCTGCTTTGATGTGATTTGTGTACAGGGTCTTTTTCTTCTGAGGTACATTTTTACACCGTGTTATGCATGCGCATGCTCAAGTGAGCTGAAGACTGTATTTATGCGTAATTGACTACACTACTACACATAGAGCAGACACAATACTATGCCACATTGCACATTTACAGAAATAACTTAAGGCGTTTGGCTTTAATAGAGTGGTACAGGAATGAGTCCTATGTAAACACGGAAATAATACAAGCTTACCTGATTTTTACATGAAAAACAACAGTAAACACCCCACTGGTGAATGTCCGCAGCTTTTACGTGTCTTAAAAATGACGGTTGCAAACAAGTCTTGAGAATAACAAGAGAGATACCTCACAGATTGAATTAGTCCAGGCATCATATCGATGTGGCCATTACATGTCATTTGTTACTTGTTAGACGCTTTTATCCAAAGCGACTTACATACATTCAGTACTGTGGACAATCCCCACAGGAGCAATTTGGGGTGAAGTGTCTTGCCCAGGGACACAACGACATGCTGACTGCAGTGGGATTCGAACTTGCTACCCCCTGATTCCAAGTCCAGCACACTACCCACTGAGCCACAGCCTCCCTCAATAAAACAATTGTCCCACAAGGTGCTGATCACACCTGTGAATCCATCCAGGTTTCATCTACATTCAGGAGACCGTTGATATTATGGGTTATCTAATCCTCCATGTACATCTGGACCAATGCTCAGTAGATGTTGTACTGCACACTAGGGCTGCTCGACTATGGCAAAAATCATAATCTCGATTATTTGGGTCAATAATTGATATCACGATTATTAAAAACGATTATCCATTTACTTAAATGTTGAACAGTATGTTTTTGACAGTTGATTACCCTGAACTTTAAGTATAATTCAACTGAAAAACCTATACAAAAAAAAAAGTATTTGAAAAAAAAAAGAAAAAAGTAATAATAATAATAAAAAAATTATCGTTTTATTTCGATTACGTTGTTTTCGTAATCGTTGCAAGCCATAATCGTAATTGCGATTCAAATACGATTAATTGAGCAGCCCTACTGCACACCATAAACATGTTCCAAATATCAATACTGGTCAGACAAATCACAATGGGTAAACTCAAATCCTAAAAACTCACCCCCTTATTTTTTTTACAAATGTTCTTCTCATATGAATCAGCTAATCTGACCCATTCCATCTTTATTTTGCACAACACACAGTACACCACTGCTAAATCTCCTGAACTCGGATAGACAAGAAATATTTGTATTTTCTAACTTATCTTAATGTCAGCTGTCACGTTTCACCTGTCACCTCAACAACATGCAATTTCCCATCAGAGGTGGTTAATAAGTGCTAGAGGCAGTTCTCTTGTCCGTAGGATTGCATCCACACTTATTAAGATTTGTTAGGCACACATGTATTATTATACACACATACGCAAAACAGTAGGAGTGTTGTCACTATGTTTAATCCTAGCTTGCAAGGAACTATAATACAGTAAATAACTGTTTATTACAAGGCTTAGTTGGATACAAGATTCTGATTAGTACATTTGGTCATTTCAGAGGTTGTTAATACTCGACGATAACACACCGCTGATAAGCAAAATAAAGACCGTTGCTAAGAAGGATCAAGGGAGGAAATAAGTTAAAAGACAGAGCGTTGGACGTCAGAGAAATCCCCAGAAGAAGGAAGATAGGAAGTAAACACTAACAGATAAACAGTAAGGGCTGCTGTGACATTGTTTAAGGACGTGTTAGTGGAAAACAAACTATGAGCAGATCATTTTAACTTACGTTGTTGTTGCCACAGTTCGAGCCGTTGGTGCACTATGGACTATTTTTATACAATCATTTTTAAGTCAATCAAATCATTTTCAATTATTAATAAAAATCGTCGGTTCATTTTGTATGTGGCCGTGTAATAAGCAGGATTATGTACAGCGCGGCAGTCATTTGGGAAAAAGAACACCTGAATAGTGTTCTTATTCATTAATGACCGCCTCGCTGC